TCAGCAATGCCCCAGTAAACACAGATAAGATCCTACCGCCTTTCTCCTGCCAGGTTAGTTCCTCAACAGCTCACCTGATAGCTCCAGGTGATGTCTGGATCCAAGGTGGGGCCCTGAGGTCACAGGGCTGTGGTGGGGGTTGAGATGTGTGGTTGTGGAGCTGCAAGAAAAAAAAAAATAAAAACACATTAACATTCTTGGAACAAGCTCTTAGTAAATCAAAAGATGAACTGCATTAGGAAAATCTGCTGTCAGAGACCTTACCAGAGAACTGAGAAGAAATTATTTCAGTCTATAGACTAAGATGAACCTGACCCAGGCCATGGTCTTCACAATTACTTGCTGTGCATCAGAGAACTGGACTATGACTAAGGATGAAAGAAGAATCGATGCCTTTGAGTTGTGGTGCTGGAGAAGATATACCATGGAATGCCAAGAAAACAAATAGGTCTGTATTGGAGAGGGTGAAAAGCCAAGTTTCTCTTTGGAGGCTAGGATTTTGGAGCGCCATCTCACACACTTCGGGCATGCAGTCAGGAGGGACTGATTCTTGAAGAAGGTCATCATGCTCAGAATGGTGGAAGGACAGTGCAAGAGAGGAAGACTCAGAGAAGATGAATTGATACAGTAACTGGGGTAATAGGTGTACATGTGTCGGAGTGGGACTGGCTCAGAACAAGGCAGGCTTCAGAGTTGTTGTACATAGGGTCACTATGAGTTGCAGGCAACTTGAAAGCATATAACAAAAACCAGCATGTGCCATCGAGTCAGAACTAAGTCATAGCTGACCCTCCAGCTAGTTTTTAGGCAATGAGTTTGCCCATCTTTCTCCACAGAACAGCTGGTGGATTCAAACTATACGCCTATGAGTTGGGGCTCCATATTAATTTTTAGAAGATAATAAGCAAACTTCTTTTGAATGCCTCTTAAAGCTACATTTCAGAGGAATAAAGGGCCAAACTATAGTCACTTTTGATACAAAATCACTCCATATCCCTAAATTAGCCTGTTCAGCATTTGAAGTGGAAAATGGAAGCAATGATTTCACGACATGAAGGCTTTCAAAACTTCTGTTCTTGCAAGTGCTGAAATAACTACATTTCTTAACAGTTAATGAAATTTTATTTTTTAAAGCATGTATGTGTAAAGGAGAAAAGATGAAAAAATGCAAAGCTTTGGCTCACAAAGAAATCAAACCCAAATAAAAAGTAACCTTGCTGTGTCAGGTCAGTTTCTACTTAGGCAACCCTGTGTGTATCAGATCAATGGCTGATTGTTAAGAAGTAAATCACTTAGACCTTCTTCTGTGGTACCTATAAATAGATTTTACCTTTTGACCTTTCTGTTGGCAGGTGGCAGCTCTAACTACTTGTACCAACCAAGAATTCCTTAGTTTCTCAGTCAGGGTTTAATGTTAGTTTTGTAAATCATTAAAAATAGCTTGCATATTTGAATTCCTTTCCATTTATTTTCTCTTCCTCCCAGATATTCATAAACAATGAATGGCATAACTCGGTGAGTGGCAAAAAATTTCCTGTTCTCAACCCGGCAACTGAGGAGAAAATCTGTGAAGTGGAAGAAGGAGACAAGGTGAGTTTGAAGCACTACTAGTTCCCTTTGATGCAGAAGTCATTGTTTCTCTTTTTACTAATTTTTTCACAGAAACAATATTTACTCTATAAACAGTAAATAATCAATCATAGGTTTTAAAATAAAAATGCCCCTTTTATAATAAATGTCATATATTATCCATAAGGGAGCTCTGGTGGCCTAGTGGCAAGAAGCTGTGCTGCAATTTCAAAGGAACGTGGTTTGAGGCCACCAGCTGCTCCACAGGAGAAAGATAGGCAATCTTCTCTCATGCAATTAACTGCCTCTGAAAACCAACCAGAGTCAGCTATGGGTTGGTTCCAACTCTCCAACTCTCCTGTACACAACAAAACCAATATATATATAGTATTGTATCAGTATAATATTTCAATTAAATGATAATATATTTCTAAATGTAATATTTTGTATAGAAGTTATTTCTGTTTATATATATATAAATTAATATTTCAATAAAATAGCTTATCATACAGATAACAGGGAGCTCTGGTTGCCTCACAGTAAGAAACTGCATTGCAATCTCAAAAGCACATGGCTCATTCACCAGCTGCTCTGTGAGAGAAAGATGGATAGTCTCTTTCCGTATAATTTACTGAACCTGAAAACCCACTGGAGGATTCAGCAGCTATAGGGTTGGTTTCCACCCAATGGTTCAACAACAACAATAAAGAGAACAGGAAATATCTATTGCAAAGAAGGTCTCTCCTAGGAAATAATCCTGTACAGCTGCAAGAGCTGGATTCTGCAGTCAGATGTGGCATCAAATCCTAACTCTACATTTGCTAGCTCAAATATTTTCTATCACTAGTCTGGGTCTATTCCCCATGAAATAAGGTCATTAACTATAGGGATTGATGGACTGATAGTGATAAAAGGGTTTAGATTTATGCCTGGAGGTCAGCAAGATCTTGTTGTTAAGTGCCATCAAGTCGCAGGGGACTCATAGCCACCCTATGAAGGAGAGCCCTCAACACTTGGGTGTCTCTCATCCTCTCTCCACGTTCATAGGGTTTCCGGAGGCAAGCTATTATGGAAGTGGATGCCACTACTTCCAAGCTTGTTTTAATTGGGGCACTCCACCCTACTCTGTCCTGTCCGCATTGGGTAACCAGCCACTAATGCATTTAACACATCAGTGTCACAGTGTTCAGCCTCACAGCAACCACAAGTTACCACTCTGGACAGCTACTTGTTTTGTGTGTTGTTTTAAAATTTTATTACTTTTTAAATTATTATTATTAATTTCAATGAACAACAACAGAGATTTTGGAATTCCATTCATTCATTGTTGCGCTTTTCTACCCACCCCCACCGCCACCCCCAGGTCGCTCCTCTCCTTGAAAAGCCAAAGAATAACTCCTTCATTGGTACACAATCCCCACCGCCCCCCGCACCTCCCCACTCCCACCCCAAGTATACTCCACTCTGCAACCCTCATTCTGGACTCTTATGATAATCATAATGCCCTAAAATATATTAATTTTAAACCATTCTCTCCCTCATCGGCTTCAATGCAGTAAACATAATTTACCCAGTTTTTCTCAGTCTTACCCCCACCCCATTGTCATCCTTATTCTACAACAGTGGCACCATATATTTGTCCTTTTGTGACTAAGAATATACCACACCTTCTCTATCCATTCGTTTGTTGATAGGCACTTAGATTGTTTCCAACTCCTTGCTGTTGTGAACAAAGCCATAATAAACATGGGTGTGCATATATCTGCTTGGATGTCATTTATGGTCTCAAAGAGAATACAGAGCAGGAGCTAAGAAAAACAATACCCTTGACAATAGCTAATCACAAGATAAAATATTTTGGAGTAAATATAACTAGAAGCACAAAGGATCTATTCAAAGAAAATTACAAAACATTATTACAAGAAACAAAAAGAGACCTGGAGAAGTGAAAAAATATCCCTTACTCATGGATAGGAAGACTCAATGTTGTCAAAATGGCAATACTACCAAAGGCAATATACATGTTCAATGCAATTCCAATACAAATACCAATCCCATTCTTCAAGGAGATGGAAAAGGCAATCTCCAGCTTCATTTGGAATGGAAAGAAGCCCCGAATAAGCAAAGCGATCCTTAAAAACATAAAAAAAAAGTAGGCATCTCACTCCCTGATTTCAAATCCTACTACACTGCCGTGATAGTTAAGACAGGATGGTACTGGTACAATGACAAACACATAGATCAATGGAATAGAATTGAGAATCCAGAAATCAGTCCATCTACCTATGGTCAACTGATTTTTGGCAACGAGATGAAATAATTTAGGTGGGGAAATGACAGCCTTCTTAACAAATGGTGTTGGCAAAACTGGAAAACTATCTGAGAAAAATTAAACAAGATCCACACCTCACTCCATATACAAAAACCAACTCAAGGTGGATCATGGACCTAGGACTGAAACCAAGGACTATAAACTTCATTCAAGAAAAGCTTGGAAGAACTTTAATAGTCCTAATCTACAACATAAAGAGTCTTCCAAGTATCTTGTACAGCTACTTGTACCCTAGGGCTATACAACCTAGAGGAATGTCTGAACAAAAATAATGAAAGACATGGTTAAAGATCTTAATAGATAGCTATAATCAAGCTACATTGTCCTGGTAAGGAGTTGAGTGATAACCTTTAAGAGATGCCTTAAGGAATTTGAAGAATTTTTAAAGGAATGGAAGAGTTTAGGGAAAGAATTCTAATGAAGGAAAATTGTGGGAATATTGGTGAGAAGAACTTGGCCAGACTAAATTGGAAGAGGGAAAATGTGAACAACAAGTTACAGCAGATGAGATGGGGCCCAAAGATCTGGAAATCTAGACAACCAAATCACCAATGTAAAATATGGTGTTAAAGGGCACGATCTCCCCTCAAACTCAACCCTGCCATTTTTAACTATTGACCTTGGTTAATTCTCCTTTCTCTCTGTGCGTCTATTTCTTCATTTCTTAAATGAAGAGCACATTACCTTCATAAATGTATTGGAAATTATAAGAGTTAGTGATATAAAGTTATTAAAACTTTATTTAATATAAGTAATCAATCTAATAATAGTAACTATTAAAAAGAATGAAAGCACTTGTCAGTCCTAAAAATCAGCCATGCAATGTAGGCATTTAATGTGGGATTCTAGAGATACAACAATGGGCTAATTTTCAACTCATTGAGCATGAAAATCTGCTAGATTTGGGGCTAGTGAACACACAGTGCCTACGCCTACAGAACTTTGCTAACTTGTTTGTTACTGAATTGACTTACCATTTTCCTTATAGGCAGATGTTGATAAAGCAGTAAAGGCTGCAAGAGAAGCTTTTCAGATTGGTTCTCAATGGCGAACTATGGATGCTTCACAAAGGGGACAGCTACTGTTCAAGTTGGCTGATTTACTTGAAAGAGACATTCTACTGTTGGCTGTGAGTATTAACCCAACTGGGCATGACTCTTGACACTGATTGTTTGAACTGGAATGTACTTAGGTCATAAGGGTTAATAAAAAAATGGTACTAACCTAAAGGCTCTATCTCTCCAGGGGTTCGAATCCAACAGTGGCTCCATAAGGAAAAGATGAGCAATCTCTCCTTAGACACTTGACATTCTGATGGATGGTCAGTTATGAATTGGCTCTGACTCAATGGCAATGAAAGAAAAGAAACTATTTCAACTTCTAGAATTTGCATAGAAACTATAACATTGTGCAATAGTCTATGCTTAAACAATAGTCTTTGCTCTTTCTGGACGTAATGGCTGCTACTGTAATAGACTCTATAATCCAAACAATGTTAAAGCAAATATATTTGTTCTCCTCCTTTACTCTAGAATTTCTCAGAGCCTTTAGCAAGATTGCACACAGTATTAAACTTGTATTGATACACTGGGACATTATATGTTTAAAACTTGCTTAATCCCTTGATCTCTAGATGAAAATCATTGAGTTTGCTAAATGTTCTCAGATCAATTTTTTAAATTATTTTTTTTCTTTATGCTAGCACATTGAGACATTAAATTGGAAGCAAGATTGGTATCCACTTCTTAAATAACAGGTCTTTGAAAAACCTATGAACAATAGAGAAACGACAATAGTTTTAGTACAGGGTTCAGATCTTTTGTTCATAGGGTCACTGTGAGTCGTACTCGACTCAACAGCACTTAACAAGAAGACATTAAATACTTTTTTCCCCTTTCTAAAATTAAATACAAATTTGACTAAATTTGGATATTTTTACAAGTGGAAAAGGTAAAGAACTAAAAAGGTAGAGAGAGAGAGAGCATGAGCCTGGTGGCCTAGTGATAAGGAGTTGTGCTGTCAAGCAACCCAAAGGCATGTGTTTGCTCTCAAAGAGAAAGATAGTCAGTCTCCTCCTATCAGATGCGCCGCCTCTGAAAACACTGAAAGTTCAGCTATGGGTCAGTTCCTATTCGATGGAACATAACAACAATTATGTATATGTGTGTACTATTGAGTAGTAACTGACCCAGAGCTGACCCTTCAGGGAGTTTTCAGAGGCAATTAGTTCATTGCACAGGAGGAGATTTCCCATCCCTCTCCCATGGAGTAGCTGGTGAATTCAAACTGCATGCCTTTAGGATTGTAGCACAGCTTCTGTCTGGTTAGATAGACAATTCTTTGCTTCCTTGCTTTCTTTTCTCTGTTAAATATTTTAGTGAAAACAGTTTAACACAAAGCAATACCAAGATCAGGTTTAGAATAAAAATATTTAGAGTCTTAAGCAAGCAGTAAACAAGACATCTATGTTACTGTTGTTTTTTAAACAACAATCATTGACAGATGTCATCATATCAATTAAACTCAGTGACCCTATGAACAATAGGGTCCAGCCCCATCCTCACAGACTTTGATACACTGAAGACTATTTTTACGGTCACTGTGTTAATCAACCTTACTGAGGGTCTTCCTCTTTTTCTCTAACCTCCAACCTTTCCCAGCAGGATGTCTTTTTCCAAATCCTGGTTCATCTTGAAAACATTTCCAAAGTACATGAGAGGAAGTTTCACTGTTTTGACTCTAAGGACTGCTTGCACTTGCACCGAGACTGCCTTATTTGTTCCTTTGGCAGTCTTGGGATATTCAGTACTCTTCTCCAATACCACCATTCAAAGGCATCAATTCTTCTACTATCCTTATTCATTGTCCAACTTTCAGACACACAGGAACAAATTGAGAAGACCTATGTAATGATAGGTACTACTGTTGAGAGCTCTGGTGGCTAAGTGGTAAGGAGTTTCACTATCAACCCAAAGACACATGGTTTAAATCCACCAGCTGCTGTGAGGGAGAAAGATGAGCAATATACTGCCTCTGCAAACACACTGGACGGTCAGCTATGGGTCGTCCTTGACTTGATGGTACCTAACAGCAACAACAGAGAGCTCTGGTGGCAAGAAGTTGAGCTGCAATCCCTAAAGCATGCAGATTGAATCCACCAGCTGCCCTGTGGAAGAAGGGGCAATCTCCTCCTGTCTGATTAATTGCCTGTAAAAGTCTACCAGAGGGTCAGCTATGGGTCGGTTCCAACTAGATGGTACATGACAACAATAACAACAACAACTATTAATATCAAGATTCTGCACAAATCACAGTAACAAAAATACAGAATTTAAAGCTATGTGCAGTGAAACTATTATCCAAAATGTTTTGCGAGAAGACAGCAACATTTGTTTATATCTTTACTTCTCTCATTTATCAGATCTGTTGATTTTAGAGCTTTATTGCCTCTGTCAGCACAAGCATCTAAGGAAATAAAATAGCAGATGCATGGAATTCATATAATTAACAGATTATTCTGTCAGCTGACATTCCGGCCAGATAAAACACCTAGCAGAATATTCAGTCACAAATAGCTCTTTAACATTCTGTTCAATGAAAGATGGAAAAGGAGAATTGATTGCCTATAGATATAGCACATACTATAATTTTGCTGAAAAAATCTGAATATATATGTTATTGTTGTTGTAATTTTGCTGAAAAAAAATCTGTGTATGGACAATCATAAAAAATTTGCAGCATTTCAGCTAATTTATAATTTATTATGTGAACACCATGGTTGAAAGATTTGGATTTTAAGTTGTGTAACTGGACTGGTTATATCCAGATGGAAAACACAATTTAAAATATTTAAAATAGTTACTAGTAACTGATTCTTAATTGTCACCCTTATTTGGGTTAAATAAAAAAGGAAATCTTGTTGGAACTCTGATCTGACTAAGAAGATTTGGTGAAATCTAGTCAGTTCTGAGATTATGACTATTCTTAGAAAGCTGTCTTGTCTGGAACTCACAATGTTATAAAGGGAACATTATGGTGTTCCAGAGTGCTCAAAAGCAACGATGTCAGTCTAAGGACTAAGGTGCATCTAATCCAGGCTATGGTCTTCGCAATTACTTGCTTCAGAGAGCTGGACAATGAGAGAATTTGATGTCTTTGAGTTGTGGTGCTGGAGAAGAGTCTTAAACATATCATGGACCACAAACAAATCCCAAAAGGTCTGTCTTAGAGAAGGTGAAACCAAGTTTCTCCTTGGAGGTTAGGATTTTGAAGCTCTGTCTCACATGCTTTGGGTACGTGGCCAGGAGAGACCAGTCCTTGGAGAAGAACATCATACTTGGGAGGGTAGAGGGACAATGCAGAAGAATACCCCAGATTAGATGGATTGAAAGAGTAACTGGGGCAATGGGGGTTGGTGTGTTGGAATTAGTAAGACTGGCTCAGGACAGGGCTAAGAGCTACAACACATAGGGTCTCAATAGGTTGCAGGCACCTCAAGGGCACATAACAGCAACAACATGGTGTTAAAACTAGAATCCAACTGCTCTTTCCACTTGTCTCTTAAGCAAAATATTTTAACTATATATTTATTATGATTCTCCTTTTGTTTTTAGAGGAAGTTAAACAACCTGCCTTAATTTATTCCATACCTAAATACTATAATCAACTCTCTTCAAAGAACAAAATAAAAAAAAATCCAAGCTCATTGTCATTATTTCTATCCCAACTCATAACTATTTTGTAGGACAGAATAGAATTTCCGTAAGCATATGCAAGGCTGTATAATATTTATGATGATATAACCTTGGTGATTCAATGGTTGTAGGTCTGAAGATCTAGGCTGTTAATCAAAAGGTACAGAGTTCAAACTCATCAACTGTTCTGAGAGATAAAGATTTAATCTGCTTCTGTAAAAGCCTTGGGACACTATCATGCAATTCTTAGTTGTCTTAGAGCTCATTGTGAGTTGTAATCAACACTAGAGTGGGTTTATATGTGCTTTTGTTCTAAATCCTTACAGAAACCTTCTACAGTGTCTTTCTACAAGAGAGTGGCTGATGGCTTTGAACTCAATCTTTCAGTTAGTAGCCATTCACAAAATTTGGTAGCATAAGAAATCAAGACTCCCTACAAAAATCTATAGCATAAAAATTTTCAAAATATTGGCAAGATATATAATCCTAAAGAACCTTGGTGGCACACTGGTAAAAGCACTTGTATGCTCACTGAAAGGTTGGTGGTAAGAACTCCTGAATCACTGAAAAGACCGATGATATGGCAGTTGGCTGCCGGAAAGATTACAAGCTTTGCAATGCCTGTGGGGTCGTTCTACTCGGTTCTATAAAGGTTGCATGTATCTGAATTGACCTCATGTTACTGTTTTTGTTTACGGGTATTTAGATCTATTATTAGGAAGCTCTGGTAGTGCAGTTCACAGAGAGTCGTAATGTGAACCCAAATGATGCTTTTCTCTGGAATTTTAAATCCACTAGTAACTCCTAAGGGAGCACTGGAGGACTTGTGCTAAGAAGCTGTGCTGCAATCCTGAAGGCACACGGTTTGAATCCACCAACTGTTTCATGGCGAAAAGATGGGCAGTCACCTCCTTTGTGATTAACTGCCTCTGAAATCCCACAGGAGGGTCAGTTATGGATTGGTTCCAACTCTTGTACACAACAACACAACACCATGGACAGTGTTTGGTGGAGCTCCCCAATTAAAACAAGCTTGGAAGCAGGAATGGCATCCACTTCCAAAATAGCTTGCCTCCAGAAACCCTCTGAACTTGGAGAAATGGTGAAAGTTATATAAATGTTCAGGTCTTTTGCTGATAGGTCACTATGAATCACCTATGACTCGATGACACTTAACATCAGCACACATTTTATACAAGTTTACATTTGAGTTTTGTCTGTTTTTCAGACACTGGAATCAATGAATGGTGGAAAACTATTTCCTGTGGCATATATGAGGGACTTACCAGCCACTATCAAAATCTTACGCTACTGTGCAGGCTGGGCTGACAAGATCCATGGTCAAACAATACCTGCTGGTAAGTAGCTTTAGGGAACCATCTAGGATGACAGGAGAAGAGATGTGATTATAGTAGAGTTTAATAACTCCAAATTATCCCTTTGAAAACATAATAAACCAAATAAGCTAGAATTATTTTCTCATTTACTTTGACAGAATTAAGTTCTGAACCTGAATATTCAGTTAACACTCATCAAATGGCTTTTGAAAATGTTAGAATAATTGCAAAGAAGATAACAGTGCATATTTTAGAAAACATTAAAGTAAGAACATAACTACTTTTTTATAAATTTACTGAGTTAAGAGCCCAACCTTGTCAAAACTGACCTTTGAAATGTTATCTATGGGTTTTATTTGAATGGTGACATCTGTACCCATCTATAATGTAATTTCACCACTCCTCTCTCAAGTTGGTATTCAGTGGTGAACTGCATGTTTCACTATGAGTCAGTTATTACCATTTGCCCCTGGCCCAGTGTAGTTAGACCAGAGTTATCCAGCAAACTAATTTTCATTGATGTCTTAGTCTTAGTCTTGATTTCCTAGTCTTAGAGCAAGATGAGGCTATGATTCCAGCTTTCATAAACTGTATGTGTGAATATGTCTGCTTGTATTATTTTAGTTGAAGCATGATCATATTGAGATTCATGCATCAACTTTGTAAAATAATGTGATTGGAGACTAATTCATAAACTAGTTGACAGTAGGTATGCAACTACCTCCTGCAATCTGGTTTTTATAGCATATATATTTTAAAATGATATCCAGGGAGTTGCTGAATCCTACCTCTGCTAACTCCACAAAGGGTAACTGCACTCAGCAACAACATCCACACTACAAAACCAGTTCCTCTAAGGTCAGACACACGGTCCCCCATACTCCTACACCTGTTTCTACTAATTCCATCACGAATCTGATTGCTTTACTGCTTCTGAAATCTGTTGCAATAACTACACAGATCTCACCATCACCATTCTTCAGTCCAGACAGTTTTCAATTTTACATAAGTCCCTCAGTTCAGACAAAGTTCAGGTGTGTTTGCAGATCCTTTGACTTTCAGCTTCACAGTGTAGATCAGTATTACAAAGTTCATTTAGTCATGCCAATTATGGCATCTTCCCTCAGTCCTCCAGTAATCTTGGTTGAAGGCCCCTGCTTTAGCTCCATGAGGGAGCAGTCCCAAGTCAACTCTATCTCATATTAGTCTCTAGTTCTCGGCTGAGGCTGCTTCCAGTCTTGTGTAGATCTTGTTTGACTGACACAGGAATTTCTGGCCCTAAAGGACACATGCTACACTTCCTATTTTCTCTTCCTTGCTGATAGTGAAATTCCCACTTTCATTATTAAGTCTGGTCAATTTACCTACTGTGATAGCAAAAAAACGAACCAATCCCATAATGATTCCTTTGTGTACATACCCTATTTTAAGTTCCTTCCCACTTACATAGTCAAAGTCAAACTCGATGGCTAGGAAAGCCGTAATATACTTTTTTTTTTTAATTTTATTTTATTATTATTTGTGTGTGTGTGTGTGTGTGTGTCTGTGTACCGTCAAATCAGATCTGACTGGTACTGGAGGAGATTGTCCCTCCTTTCCGGGCAGAGCATCTGGTGGATTCGAACCATGTACTTCTGGGATTGCAGTGCAGCTTCTTGCCACTAGGCCACCAGAGCTCCCCTCATAATATACTCTTGACATCGCACATAGGGAAAGGTTCTGCCTCATTGCTTTTAGGAATTGTGTTGTTACTGTTTAAATCTTATATTCTAACTTTAATATTTTAAAAATTCCACTATTTTTTATTAAAATTCCTAGATTTTTAGCAGCTACAAACATTTTATTTTCTTAGCTACAAATCTCTTACTTTCTCCATTATTCCTTTCCAAAAAAATTTCGAGATTAGGATTGCTTATTCCAGAAAAAACAAATCATGCCCCAAACAACTTTCCAAGGCAAAGAAAGCTAGAGTCAGCCATCTTTAAGGCATATCTGAATAATTTCAAAAATAAAAATCTGCACAAAGACAATGTTTACAAGTTGGTAGTCCAGAGTACTTCCATCCTCTAAACTTTTTTTACTCAGTTTTAACACCAGTCATCCCCCCTGCAACATTCTTCTCTTCTGTGTTCAGTACTTTGTTGCAATCTCTACATAAAACTCACAGACACTCATAGTTAAGTAGTTTATTAAGGAATAGGATACAATTAGGAGTCAGAATCAATAGGTTAGAACTTGAGTCAGGATGAAGAAGCATGTAGACAGCGTCTCTATTCTTCAGTATAGAACAACTTCTTTGGCTCATCTCTGCTGTGCACGCCTCCTCTGAGGCTTCTCTGAGAGGTTGGGTCCTAGGTCTCTACCACTGATCGTCTCCTAGGATTTTCACTTTCTTCAGTCTAACAAAGCTTGACCTGTGTTACATTTTTTGTGTTTTTTTTCTTCTTATTTTACCTTATTTTATTTAGTACCCAAAAAAGTGCTCAGGCCGTTCGTTCATAGGGTCGCTAATGAGTCGTCTACGACTCGATGGCATCAAACAACAACAACCCCCAAAAAAAGCACATCCAGTAAGTGAAGGTGACAGTGATGGAGAACTTGTTAAGAGGTTTATTTCAAAATAAATACAAATTTACAGAAGGGAAAATACAGGTTATCTGTAAGTCCTATGATCATAATATGAGGACTGGCTGTAACTAAAAAAATTCCATTTCTTTCCTACATACATTTATTTTCTAGGTAATCACACTTGGTTTCATAGCTTTAAATAGTATCTGATGATCCCCTATCACTTTCTTGAACACAGTGTACCCATGTGAGTCAGGCACCACCGTGTATGTCAAGTAGACATCACGAACGTGCTGTTTCCAAAGCTGAACTCATGCAAAACCACTCCACCACTCCCCAACCTGCTCATATTGGAGCCACCTATTTCTTTTACATATATATA